ACTAACTTTGTTTGTTTCTTGTTTTAACTGCAGTATCAACAGAGACAACAAACCCTAGTAGCAGCCAAAGTATAACACAGAAGAAAGCCTTAAAGATTCACAAAGCTAAAAAAAAACACCTGAGTTGATCTATGTAATCTCCTTGCCTAGATCTTGTTTCTGATTATGTCTCTTTGGTCTTATCTCTTCTTTCTTCAACCTTGATTCTTTGTTTGATGAAACTTCCTGCACAGAATTAGCCTCCAATATCTGTACCCTTTTTCTTCGTCTCTTCCTTCTGTAACACGCCTGTTACAGATCCGTCTCTCTGCTGCGATCACCAATAGCTCAGATCACCAAAAATTGTCTCTCCGGTAAGATCTGTGACACCGATCTCTTTCCCCAGCAAACCCTAGCTGTCCTGAGCGATCCCCTGGATGCTCTGCTACCACTTGTTGAGTTATTCTACTCGCGGAAGCTGGCTCAATTGTCTTCTGAGTGATTCGATTTTTTGTGTAGATTTGCAGAAAGTAAGAACACAAGCAATTAACGAGTTTCCAGTAACGTGTTGGTACTTCTCGTGGGATACTCTTGATCCCAAACTCCACTAGAAAAAAAAGAGCAATACACATGTCTTACCCTTGGCGATTTTAGTCTAGGGTTTCTTACAAGAGATTTCTTAGAGAGATTAAAGAGGAAAAGCTTAGAGCAAAGAAGTGAACCCTATGCGTAAGAAGAAACTTATGATTGTGATACTTGTGATGTGATCACGGTGATAATGATCTCAAAGAAGTCTTCCTCCTTATATAGATCCCTTGTTTTCTTTTCTTCTTGTTTCCTTTTCCTCTTTGCCTTGGAGATGCAACAACCTCCTCTTGAGCCATTACCAGATCGCTGGCCCAAGCCTGTCTCTCTAACTCTTGCTGTCGAATGGGCCTTGGCATCCTGAAGCCCAAGTCTGTTTCCAACAGGATCCACAAACTCCACCTTTGGAATCAGACAACCATTCGACCCGAAATGTGAAACCCCAGCTGCTCTTGCTTGTTCTCTCTCTAGTGGCGAAGCACGGTGGAACTCCTTCGGTTCAGCCGTAGCTCCGACGGTTCGCCTCAGTCCTTGAACCACAGTTATCCTCTCAGATTCCTCTGGAACATCTCTCAGCCTCCTCGTATCTTGCCTTTGATGATTCAGTGAAAGGATCATCTGAGATCTGAGTAACCTTCGAAGTTCTGATCACTGACTCTTCTGCTTCTTCCTGTTTCTGGTACTGCAACCCTCTCTGATGCCTCTGTCATCTCTGTTCTGATAACCTAAGCTGACCCTTCAACTCCCATCTGAACCAAAACCCTTTGAGATGACTCATCAGACGTCTCTACAACCAAACCTTGAAGCCTCTACCTTTGAATCAGCCTCTGATTCTTCCTCTTCAGTCAAGTAACTTCGATTTCCTTCTGCAACCTTTCTAATCTGAAATCCCTTCACAGATCTCTGCGAAACTAACTCAGCTTCGTCTTCCATTTCCA